CATACTTAATACTTAATAGTTTGGAGGGAGAAAAGAATTGACTATGTGACTATGCTAAGCAGACAAGGCCCTGTTTCAGGCAGTGTTGGGCTTCAGGGTTTATGATCATGGTCCAGACAACAGATTTCCTGACATTTTGCCAGCCACAGTTGCCAGCAAAACAAGTTGTCTAGACCATGGCTTCACTAAACCCTGAATCCCAACACTGCACAACAGATACCATCTATGAAAGCCTGCACCAGTATAAGGTCCTGATCTTTTTTGGTAAACCTTTTTTAGGCCATCTACTGTGGTTCTCTTTTTCCTGGGGTGAGGAAAGGGTTAAAAACCTTGGCATTGATTTTAGACACTGGTGCTAGTAAGGGCTCCAGGATCCTCCCCTCCCCGCCACCCCAAAAGGGAGTTCAGGTTGCCTACACCCACTGGGAGATAGTGAAATCCTTTGGGATGAAACTCTATTTCATTGAATCTGAGAGATTTAAAAGAACCACCCATTAATTCCTCTAGAAGTGGCTTTGGGATTTTCACTCCCAGAGGAATCCACAGTAAAAGAAATATATTTATGGCTAAAGTTGGGCTTGTGGTCATATTTTCCCCCAGAAGCCCTGGGCGATTGAGCTGGCTTTTTAAGAAAATGAACAAGGGAGCAAAATGCTTGTTTCCAATTTAACCATTAAAAAGCCCAAGGTGCTCCTAGCAACACCTGTCTCAGAGCTGCTCAGGCAGCTCTAAATCTGATCTACTGCTGGCTTGTAGATCCTGGCTGATGAATCGAAGAGACAAGCTCTCAGCATTTCAAAGAAGTTTCCCTTTTTAATGCCTAGAATTCCAGCTAAACTCTGAAGGAGACTACTACATATTTATCATTTCATTCCTTTCTAAATGTGGGAAGGTTTAACAAAATAATTAAACTCATCTGATATACCCGACTAAGATTTCTTTTATTGGTGACGGTTCTTATAAAATGACTATAATAAGATTCTTTTCCTACCCCACTTCTCCACTTTACTGAAATTTAATTGAATTTTAATGAAATGGCACAAAGGATGTGCTTGTACATTTTCTGAAGAGCTGAAACCCAGATCAATTTTTTCCCTCCTGTTTGGACAGAGTGGGACTGGAAAGGGGCATTAAGTAGATTGTTTTTTATGTCTCATCAAGTAGCAGCATTTGGCCAACTCGACTGGGCTCAGAAGCTAAGCAGGGCTAGATCCAGTTGGACCTTGGATGGAAGGCCATTAGGAAATCCCCGGGGTGTAGACTAGACTAGGAATCCAAAAGGAATCTTGGATGATGGCGATGCCAAACCACTTCCATACTGTTGCCAAGAAAACTACATGGACTGGTCCACATACCTCCCAGGAGTTGAGCTTGATTCGAGGGAGTCTTTATTGTGTCTGTTCATCAAACCATGGTTGAGCAAACCATGATATAGTGCACTGTGGGAACTAAGTTGTTAAACTGAAAGAGTTTTCTTCCTTCTTCAGCAGGGGTGTTTTCCACCCAATCCTTTTAACTTGGAGAAACTTTTGACCTTGAGCCTAGAATTCTAAGAAAGTTGAAGGAGTAGAACATAAATCTGGGCTGAAATTAACTTTACCAGGCATGACAATGGAACCAGAGTCATTAAAAAAGTCTCTCTAATGGCCTTTCTCCAATAATCTCATTTCTAATTTTTATTTCATTTTTTAGAACAGTCTTTATAGCAGCTGGCTGTCTGCCATGATGTGAATCTAAATGTCAGTAATTCTATGGTGATTTCTCCCATATTTTACATCTGGACATTTAAGGATTTTCTTTTCTCTTTTGGGCAATGATTGCAAATGGCTGGGGAATCCTATAGCCCAGATATTTAATGTCAAACAAAAAGGTTATTTTCTTTGCCCCTTCTCCTTCTTCTCTGTCTCCATGAAAACGCTAGCTGCTTCAGGAAGACAAAAATGAGAAGCAGTATCTAACATGTACAAAATGCCAACAGAATGAAAAGAATAGGATTCCTTGAACAAAAACTTCCTTTGATTTATAGCCTCTCTCAAACTAACGTCTTTCCAAGTTATTGAATGAAACCATGCTTCTGTCCATGTGGCAATTGTAGCCACAATGAATCGCTTTGCTGTGATGCTGATAATTGGTGAGTTGGTTGTGGTCAACTTGTCTAATCCTTCACCTTGGAACACATTGACACTTTTCCCAGGTTCAAGAAAAAACATGTTTTGTACATTCCACAGTAGTGTGGAGTGCAGTGGAATGTCCTTATATTTTGTAGATATCATAATAGCTCATATATTAATTTCAACTTATCCAATATAAGTATAGGTTAAATCCTCTTGACTTAGGGTTAAATAGGGTTATCAATTTCTAGCTTCTTGGTCAAGCATTGTGTTATTTTCCATTCAAGTATTCTAAGTTTCTATCTGTATTCTACCTCATTGCCTTAAAATGTTTCTGAATTAATATCCAAATCCTGTAAGAAGATGACATTTCAATTCAGAAATTTCAATACAGCTATTACAGCAATACAGCAATACAATTCAATACAGCAAATTGTTGTTCCAAACTATGGTATGTCCAAGGTCAGCAGAGCGTGTCACTGGGCAACTAACCAGAACTAGAAATCATAAATTGAACTTTCTGCTCTAGATAGGATTTGATGTGATGTCTAAATCACCAGACAATCGTTTCTGGGCATTGCTGTCAGCATCCTGAGACCTTTGCATCATAGAAACAGGAGGAGAGCTGGGCAGATAGAACATGGAAGTATTGCATCAATGTGCAATTTTTTAAAAAATGGGTGATCATCTGGCTTGCAGCACTTTGTATGGAAACACCTAGGTTTGGTTTGGTTCTTTCTTACCACATAAACATAAATCAGTAGTCAACTTGCCCAGAGCAGAAACTGCCCTGCCATTAGATAGATCTGGCCCTACCATTGGACAATAGATTGGGTGGAGCAGTGATCTCAGACCACTCTCTCACTCACTGTTCTCCCAACCTCCATCCAGACAGTTGTTTCATTTGCAGCTGGCCACTTAGTTAACTGCTATATGGTTGCACTCCCATACATGTTTAATTGTGTATAAGCAAATAAGGGGTAGCATTTTCCTGTAACTCTAAAAAGGAAAATAACCCAATTAATTGATCCAGTCAACTATCCTGAGGGATTAGATTTAGCCCTAAATGAGGGCTACCAGATCTGGACTGCAAAAATCCAGATGACCACCAGCTGGCAGTAGGAGTTTCTCAGTCTAGTCTAAACAGACCTAATCTTGTACAAAGTTAAGCTAATTCCCCCTGGCCCTGCATATCATGGGAAATGTGCAGTTAACTAAACTTATCTTTCCTAAGATTCAATACCTCACCATAGAGACCCCTCTACAAAGTCTAGGGAGTTCTGCAAGTCTTAAGACTCTATTTAACTCCTTTCACCCAACTCCAAAATCCCCAAATAAAGAAACAAAAAAAGGTCTGAACATTTTGGTCCCATCCCCTCAAGGGGTGCCCCAGATTCTACCGAAGTGGTCATCCATCTGTGCTTGAGCAAATCCTGATCATAAGCTATTTGCCATTGTAACTCAGTTGATCAACTGAGACAATATCCAAGTGTCAGATGCATTTTTTGGTAGCTAGGAACCGCACTTCGTAATTTTTTAGGGCAGAGAGTCAGAGGGTAGGACAAAGATACAAAAAAAGGCAGGACCACGCCTTTTGAGAGTGGATTTTCTTGAGGATTTCTGCCTCTTTCAGGATATGCTAACAGATTCCTTTGTTTCTTTTCTCAAAATGATGGGAGGCTATCCTCTTTTTTTTTTTTTTTTAATCCGCAATCAGTCGTTACTGACTTTACGGTGACTGCTTGGATGAGTCCTTGCAGTTTTCAA